ACAGGTTGCAGGTAGATGATGTGGGCCGTTACAGGGTGCAGGTACATGATGTTGGCTTTTATAGGGTGCAGGTAGATGATGTGGGCTGTTACAGGCTACAGGTAGATGATGTGGGCTGTTACAGGGTGCAGGTAGATGATGTGGGCTGTTACAGGCTACAGGTAGATGATGTGGGCTGTTACAGGGTGCAGGTAGATGATGTGGGCTGTTACAGGTTGCAGGTAGATGATGTGGGCTATTACAGGCTGCAGGTAGACGATGTGGGTCACCGATGTCATTCAGTTGTCAGCCCTTATGTGTCTGTGTTCACAACAGCTGTTTTCAGGTTGTTTGTCCCATTGCTGTGACTGCTATACCTCAGGATGAACTCAATATATTTTGTCTTTTTTTCTTAGTTTGTTTTCAGATTTGGCACAAACAGTCTCATTGATTTTAGGATGAACTGATCAGAATTTTTGTTGTCAAAAGTCAAGGTCACTGTGACCTTAGAAAACATGTTTTGCACCATAACTTAAGAATTGGTATACTAATAATGACAGCATTTGACAGGAATGTGTGACCCTATAAAATCATGAAGTGATAACTTTTTACATCCCAAAGGTCAGCTTCACTGTGACGAAATGTTCAGCAGAAACACGGGTCGGGCTGACAGCTACAGAGACAACATGGTGACCATGTTTCTCCTGAGGTCAATTTTTTTGGTGTCTACTTTGAAGTCTGGTGATTGTGTCAATCTTCTGTGCTGCCAGGTCAACGTTGTGTGTGAAGCATACACATTTCAGAATTTGCAGCTTCTTTGTCTGGTGTCCTGGCCATGTGTTCTGTCAGAATCAGCTTTACTGGCTTGGCAAGTGAAGTATACATATATAGATATCGATATATAGATATAGACACACAGAGAGACATGAATGTGAACAACATTGTCTGGTTAGAGAAGGTAGAGAAGGACAAGTCAGTTTTGTAGTCAGTTTAAAGCCTAAATGTGAAGGTGTAAGGACACGAACATACTGACAAGCTTTCACTTCACTCATCGACAACACAGTCGTTTTCTGGACGCTAGCCTGAGATTTATCTCCAAATGTTGCTAGAATCAGAGGTAATATAGTAGGGTTCAGGTCATCCTGACAGGGAGCATCACTGCTACCTGAGTATGTGCTTTTACTGGTACCGGGACTACAGCTGTGTCTGCTCTTCACACGTTTGGCTCCAGTTTCAGTTGATCCATCACATCCTCGGGTCCAGCTCTCACTCATTGCAGTTTCAGATTTCCCAGTTGCCTTGAACGCATCTATCGTAAAGCGGCTTCAACTGTCGTAACACATCTTATAAATGCCGGTGCTGCACGCCTGCCACTCCTCTTTCCGTCTCTTGCCTGCAGAGTGAGCACGATGGGTGAGTTGGAGCAGCGAAGTTGGTCAGCCGCTTCTGAGCGGACACGATACGGGACAGACAGGTGGTGGTCGGGTTTAGCAGCTGAAGGTGGATGTTCTCGGCTGTGGCCTCCACGTCCTCCTCCAGGCAGCTTAGCCACCTGGAGGCTTAGGGTTAGGTAGGTTAGCCACCTAGCTGGTTAGGGTTTGTAGCTTAGCCACCTAGCTGGTTAGGGTTAGTAGCTTAGCCACCAATCTGCCTGCAGCCCGATGCTCCGCGTGCTCACCCTGAAGACTCGACACGAGTCGTTTGGCGCGCATCAGTCGTTTGGTTTTTCATGAAACTTTCAGATTCAGTAAATAGTCCCGCAGCAGGGGCCGCGACCACCGACAACCAGCGCATACTTCTACAACAGGCTGATTCAAACACAACTGAGATAACAGTCATTTAGCAGTTTAGTGGCACACGCAGGTCATGCAGCTCATCCTGACTAATGTCCAGAGTCCTCCAGCACATCTCTACATACAGCATTAATACAGGGCTATAAATATAGAAAATATAGCATTAATATAGGGTTATAAATATAAATTAAAGCTGCAAGCAGCGTTGGTCGGGTCCTCGGTCTGCGTTGGACCCTCATGCCCGTCTGACCGTTCTTCAAGTGAAGCCTGCTTTAAGTAGGAGCCATTTTTCTCTCTCTCCTCAGCCTCAGCCTGTCAGTGAGTCACATGACCAGCTGCACTGACCTGTGATGATGTCATCGTTCAGCATGTGAGAGAGCTGAGAGTTTTACTCGCTTTCTCTCACTTTAACTCTCCCATACAGCCACAATTTTCAGCAAATGTGTGTAAAAACAACATATTTTTGTAGGAAATCTTGTTAGGAAGCCCTCAGTGTCAGTTTTAAAGCTGTAGGACCTTTAGTTTTTTGTGTAGATGACCAACTGTGGGCAAGGACCCCTGCTTGCTGCAGCAAGTAGGGGTCCTCGGACCCTAAAAATACAGCGTTACTATAGGGTTATGAATATAATAGATGTAGCATTAATATAGGATTATAAATATAGTACATTTAGGGGTAGACTGCTTTCATTGATAACAGCTCAGCACCAGAACCAGTGAAGCTCAGCTCATACATAGATGCAGGAGTAAACCATGAGTCCTCTGCACCCCCAGGACCAGAACATCCAGAACATCCAGTGGGTTACTGTTATGATGGGCTGCATTAAAGGCGTCCTGCAGCTGGTGTGGCTGTTGGTTCTGATGTGGCATCAGGTCAGAGCTCTGTGGAGGCTTTAGTACTGAGGGACACCTTCCAGTGTGGCTGTAAACACATCTGATTTAGAGGAAAATGACATTTCCAAAAGATCCGATAGTTAGATGGAAACCCTCATGGGTCTGGTCCCAACGCCACGGCGCTGACCCAGTGGGGTTTTCCTGTGTGGTGGCGGATCCCAGGCGGCCGTGGCTACAGGACATCAGGTTTTGCTTTCACCTCTGCACTGCTGGTTGCTGAACGGTGACAATGAGGCCTGGCACAGGCACAGAACGTAGCTCCTACCTGGGATATACGTTGCTTTAAAGACACCACAAGTCTGCAGCTTCTCCAGATTAAAGCAGCCTTTGTCTTGCAGGATGTTGGCTGACTGCTGACGGGGAGCTGGTGTCTCTGGGTTTGTGCTGCCGCTCTGGTACTGAAGGTCAGTTTCTCCGTTCTTTACAGACTAATATGTCAATGCTTTTGTGTACAAAAGCTGTCTTCAGAGTGAACATTTGGAGTATCTGGGTTGCTGATGAGGTGTCGATGTGCTTGTGGGGAGTCAGGACACGCCTCAGGACAATAATCAAAGCAGGAGCCTGACAGCAGACACGTTACATCTAATTAGATGGAAAGGAGCTCCATGGAGATCATGTGGTTCTGCTGATGTTGTCTTGGCACCGTGTGAGCTGTGGTCCTGCCAGGTGGGCTGTACAGCACATACAGTGCACAGAGCAACTGATTCTCTTGCAACCCACTGCTGCCAATCCTCTGCAGCAGTGTTACTGATGGGAACCAACAGCTGCTGGGATTTGCAAGTGGCAGATGTTGTTAGTGTCAGCATATTTACCTGTTCTGTTGTCCACCAGGTGTTGGAGATGGCTGTGGTCCTGCCTGGTAAGTCGTGTTACACAAACGGTATGCTAGTAACTAGAAGTTATGATGATTGGCTTCATATGTTCAACTGCTCTGACGTGTGAGTGACAGCTGCCTCTCTGAACAACCTGCTGACTAATGGCTGTGTATGCCAGCAGTCCTGGAAACCCGTTCTCACGACATCTGGTCTCTGCCCCTGTAGGTGTCCTCGCTGCCCCAGCCCTCTGCACAGTCGTCAGTCCAGAGGACACAGCTATGAACTACAGTGGTAACACAACCAACTCATGGCTGCCCTGAGTGGATGTGACTGAAGGTAAGGGCTACCACTGTCTGTTGACATTCAGAAGAAAGCTGGTGCTCCTCTGGTGCACAATGACAGCACTGTGTGGTATCTGCAGCCAGCTGGTCATCAGCTGGTTTGTTCAAAAGCCAGTGCTAGAAGAAGTCAACCTCTGGCATCGTTGGTCTCCATGACACTGTGTCTGGAGTCCTGGTATGGGTGTTGAGACACAGCATCCTTCTGTACTGGTTAGCATGTGGGGCTATTCAGGGACACCTCATGGGGCTTGAAACTGGGATCAGTGCCGTTTTTGGGGAATCATGGAGGACTGAATGGAAGAAGGTGCTGCAGCTGGCAGTTCTATTTACTGTAGCTCCACTATGAGCGGAAGTGGACCGCAACAGCCAGCCGATGTCTGAATAGATGCTGATTCTGTGCAGTAAATCCTGTCGACTGCATGGCTCAGGCTGGATTCTTTTGGATTCATTACACTTTGCTGACTCACTGTTCTACCCTGGCTTAGATGAACGTGATCCATGTGGCTGTGGTCGATGAAATGTGGTGTTCTAATTGGTCAACACATCCTCCCTTTAACCCGTGTTGTTCTGCAGGTTGGTGCTGCAGCAAAGGGGGACCTCCTGATCCCGGGGTCTCAGTCAGGATCCACTCCAGAGGTGAGCATTGACCTGGTGTAGAGGTACCTGGCTGAGTGGTGTCAGGCAGGGAGCACTGAGGTCTATCCCGACAGACCTTTCGCTGTAGGGCCGTGTCGTTGGAAATGCCTCAG